ATAATAGATAAATTTGATAATTTTCTTTTTGAATGTTGTTGCTTGAATGTTGTTCTACCGTCTGTGTTTTGTGAGAGGGACGTCGGTAGAGCATGAGTGTACTAATACCATAGAGGTAACTCTAAGACCACTGGGTCCCGAAGAAAATCATTATTATTTTTGGCTCACTCAGTACCAGAACACGGTCCCAAGCAGTCCCAAGCTATTTCACTCACCCCTGCATGTTCTGCATGAATCCACACACCCCTGATGTTATCTGTCAAACTTTCATAGCGAATCAAAACAAACATAGTGTAGTAATAGAATTTCAACTAGAATAGGGTACGTTAATCGTTTGCTTGGGACCAATAGGCTACTAAAGTGGTGAGCCAATTTAAAATCGTTAGTTTCGTATTGATTGTTGCTAATACCATAGAGGTAACTATAAGACCAGAAGGTCCTGAAGAAACGTGCTCAACTTTTTGGCTCAGCTCTGGTACTATCTTCGGTCCCAAGCTAATCGATGCACCCCTCGAAACATAGGAAAATCCACGAGCCCCTCATTTTATCTGTCAAACTTTCATTGGGAATCAAAACAAACATAGTGTAGTACTAGAATTTCAACTGGCATGGGGTACGTTAATCGATTTGCTTGGGACCAATAGGTAGTGAGCCAATTTAAAATCGTTACTTTCCACCGGTTGCTAATACCACAAACGAAGTGCTAATACAACAGACTATCGCGCACGACAAAAAACGTCAACAGTATCAACCCCGACCCTAAGCTACAAACTGGAATCAACGTGACCAATTCTGAAATAGAGCAAAAAGTAAATTTAATCTTTATATTTTACTATTAATGCTACCCGCATTATCAAAGATACCCCGTTTTACGGTATAAAGAAAAAAAAAAGGTGATGAACTGAACCGTGACAGGTTCTATCTCACGTGCGAATGTTGATAGCAGCTAATCAATTTATGAACTTTCCACCGTTGAGGGTTCCTAAAACTGTGTGCCTGTAGGTTGATGTTTAAGCATTTCAATATCGCGAGTCCATTTCGATCCAAACATTTCCATTCAATTGGTTGGGAGTTATTTTCTTAGATTTCTCGCGCGATAGCTTATCAATAAGGTTTATTTTTTTATCGTCATCCAGGTCAACAACAAAAATATTGCGCTACGCCTTCCAAGCACCAGAAAAAAATTTCTGCATGTTATTTGTTATCACTTTTTTGTGCGCGTGGCTATCGATTTCAAATTTGAAAACAACACGCCATTGCATTGAGAGTTCAGGTACAGTTAAACGTTTTCGTTATTGCACCGGATGTCTTGCACCGATCACTTTTATAAATTTGACAAAAGCATCAGATAACGGACGATCCGGTTCAATGTTCCTTTGGGAGTAAATTAGCACACATTCAAAATAGGCAGCTATGGAAATGTAAAATTAAAACGATAAAATGCTCCTTAAACTTTGGAAAAATACTTGCTATTCAGATTTGCTCTCCTGTCCGTGGTTTTTGACGTAGGGCTACGTCTGTGATTACTATATGGGGGTACACTTTGTGAAAACCGAAAATGGAACATGTAACAAAATTATGAAAGATTTTTAACGTTAATAACTCAGCTGCCCCTGGACCAATTTCAATAGTTTTATCACCAATCGATCAGATATACTTCTATGCATTTGAGATTTTATCATTTTTGAAAATCTCACTTTTATGAAATAATTTACCGATTGCCTGCGAAAAGCGATTTCCCTAACACAGACTTCAAAGTTGAATTCCATCCGGTCTTACCAAACGAAGTTTATTCAATCAGCACGTGGTGAGTGGTGGTGTTCTCCAGAATCAGTAGCTCTTCGTGCGTTGCTGCTTGGCCATCTATGTCAAGCGCGTCATACTTCTTCGTGTGCGATCGCTTATATTGACGAAGCAATTCGTGTTATTTTGTTCTCCCACCCTTCCCTTCATTCGCTGAGTGACCACATGCACCCATTGAGCATGGGTCACTCACTCTTAAATTTCCAGAAATACGATCCCAACAATCGTTTTTCACGAGCGATACCACTCGTAGAAGAATACACCCGGATTGATTCTCTTCATGAAGAGCATCATTGCTATTATTGTTCATGAACGAGGCTTTGTGTGGTTGCTTGTGATGACGAGTGTCTTGATTTTGATAGTGGGTTTACGTGAGCTAGTGCAAAAGGGAATATTTTTTGTTTCGTTTACACAAACATTAATGAGAAACATCGTCAGAGAAAAAATAGCATCCCGACTGAGAGACGTTTTCAGCGACAATACGCTTCGTGCGACATCATTAGAGCATATTCAAATATTATTCGTGAGGATCAAAGCATGAGCATCGCGTTGATGGGAAAAACTATTCGCATCGTCATGAAGAGCATATGAAGAACGTCTCCACCGCTCGCGATGCGAACGACAAAGAGAAGAAGAGCCGAAGGTTTGAGTATAGCATCGGCACTCACACTCCTCACTCATTGAGCATTCTGTACGATTTGCTTTTATGCACATCATTCAAGAGTTTTGCTGAGATACCGATGCTACGAGTACCGTCGCAAACGATGAACGAATATAAGAGAAATGAAGCGAATATCAGTAACCTTGCGTGAGATTTTCGACATGAATAAAGTGCATCCGCTTGGATGTAATATTAAAATTATGTTTTTGCTATGTTCTTTAGAAGTTTTTCCCGGCGACTTTACAAATAAATAAAATCAAACAAAATCATCATGCAGAACTAGCTAGGATTTGTTTTACTTCATATTTCACAAAATTGCTTTCGAGTGTTAAGACATTGTCTCCCGCAAAGTTTACATTTTCCCCTCTACCAACACATCTCCACAGGATCTATAGAATCCACGCAATTTCAAAAAACCAAAATGCACAGCATTACGAAAAGAGGTCAGGTTTCGACCAATAGCAGATAGATTTTAATTCTACAAACAAGCCAAACGATTGGAAATTTATCTACCAATCTGCTAAAATGAACTCTTAGTTAATTTTGAATAGGTCACTATTGATAAATACCAAATGTCCAACTGTTGCAATGGTGATCAAAATTATCACCGAATGTCTGAAAACAGTGCATTCCCTAACACAGACTTAAAAATCGAATTCGATGCGGTCCCACTGAACGGTGCTCATTCAATCACCGTAAGTGGTGGTGTCCAGTCCAGCAGCAGCAGTAGTAGCAGCAGCAGCAGGAGTGCTTTCAACAACAACAACAACGAAAGGCTGCCTGCAAGCAGCGAGCTGCAGAGCTCATATGAGCAACCATAGAGAAGGAGGAAGAAGTCCCACCGCTAGGCTAGGATCGGAATCAGTAGCTCGTCGTGCTCAGCTCAGCATTACTCAACCATCATTACAAAACGGCCTTTTCAGGACCACCATAAATTTGTTAAGAGTATTATTTGGACATTTGTCAAGGTCATCAGTTCCCGCAAGCAGCTAGCTATCAAGGATCAACCTGGTCTCTATAGAAGGTGTGGAATTGTAGGCCCGAATGTATTGATGAGATTAATCGTCCCACCATTTTCCAGAACACGCTGGTAGGAAGTGTTAAAAATCCATATAGCATTTGAGAGAAGTGGGAATAATTCGCTTTAGGTGTATATTCAGTCCCCAGAAAGCCAATAAAATCAAATTTGTGAGAAAATTAGCTCTCACGAGTTCGATCTCTCTTTAATACCAAAATGCACAAAACTTAAAAATTCAAAAATAACAAAAACAATCAAAATACACCTTTTAAAGTCGGGTAGATGAATCGAAAATACTCAAGTTGACAGTCCCTTGGATTCTCTTCATCAACTTTCTCTTTGAAATAAATACTACAAATTTGATACGCTTACAAATAAAAAACGGGTAGAGTTAAGATAATTGATGATTGATCAATTAAAAGAACTAAATGTTCACATTTGTTCCGTCCACTAGCGGTCCTACGTCAAGCTTCCGTTCGTGCCCCTAGGCACAGACCCTTCTTTTCTTTAGAATCTTCGTTTAGAAGCTTATTCTAGACGCTTGCCCGTCGCTCCGCTCCTCTGACAAAAAATAAACACGGGTAGGGTAGTAAATCTTGTTAGCTATGCAATAAAACTGCATTTGTCCGAGGTATAGGAGCATTTCATCGTTTTAATATACGTTTCCATACACCCAACCGAGAAATGTAAGATTCTGTTACAGATTTGCATAAAAATATGCAGAATTTGCCGAGGAATTTGCAATGTTTCGCGACACAAACATATGTAAGGGGTGATTCATATATTAAGTCTCGCTCATAAGTGGAAGTGGGGGTTTAATATTTTGTGACAAGCAATTCATTAGGTACACACACAGCAAACAAAAAATGTAATATCGATAAACGTAATTCAAGCTTATGAATGAAATAATGATGTAATAGCAAAAAGCAGATACAATATTACATCAATGGATTTAATTTTGTTCGCAAAATCGATGTACATCGTAATATTACACAACCCGCAGAATGACCTCTGTGCAGCTGTTTGGAGGTAATACTCAACAACTTTTTTCTGTGTATACGAAAAACGTGATGAAAGGGGGAGGGTGGGAAGATTTATCCTGACATACTTAATTCGTGGCCCCTAATGTGGTCGCCCGGATTTATAATAATTTAGAAATTTTTATGTTTGTTTCCCCAAATGCATTGCGTCAAGAAAATCATCTCGTGAAGGTTTTATACAAAAATATGCATTCTGTAAAAACTTGCTTGTACGCTGCAGTCCATTACAAGAATTACCATTTGTTGCATGAAAAATATGCAGAGGATGTAATAAATTCAACCTTACATTGGATGTTAAAGAAATTTATTTTGCGTGTAGTTGTCAATTAGAGCACATTCAAAATATCAAATCTTAATTCCATACTTTGCATATGCCGTCAAGACAACCATCTTGATCAAATTAGCCGATAACCGGTTGCACGACTTGTTAGCGCCATGGTTACGTAAGAGCAGCTGTGCTAAATGTTGCTTTTCGCAGGTTTCCATCAAAATCGGCTGTGGTCCAACAGCAGCACAGGTGGCTCAAAGTCAATAGTCGAGCAGCAAGCTATGATTCCAGTACTGGCTCGCACGACGGATCCCAAGATGCTAGTAGTAGTAGCAGTAGCAGCTTACTATCCACTGCTGCCACGATCGTTGGAGGCTCGCTGCTAACCTACCTGATTGTGAAGAAGCTGAGTAAGTTAACCCCTGTTTTTATTTTATTGGTTTTAAAAAAAAAAAACTTGTTCACACAACATTGACATCTCACGGTATGTTTTCTTATTTTTATTGCAGAGGATGACTCGGCGAAAGTGTACGCAAAAGCTGCCACCGATTCATCAAACGCACCGAGTGCACAAAAAGATATTAGCAAGGCACACAACGAGCTTCGCCGCGATTTGCCGGTGTATGCGATGGAAGATGTTGCCAAGCACAATTCCCCACAGGCCGGCATTTGGGTGACGTACGGTATCGGTGTGTACGACATTACCTCGTTCGTGCCGCAACATCCAGGCAGCGATAAAGTTATGCTTGCCGCAGGTAAATAGAGTGTTTTTGATATCTCGAGCTTTTAATCCAGTAATTGGGTAATTGCAATTTGGGGACGTATTCACCCTGAAATTTGAGCCTTTTGAGTACATTAAATATTTCACTTAAGCAATGGCGAATGTTATTTAATTGGGCCTAATTTCCGCGGCGTGTGAGGTGAGCTGACAGTAAAGTGACAATTGTTACCTCGGATGAGCTTAATCTTTGTGCAAATCAAATGGAGAGTCACCTCACCCAAGATGACATTTGTCACTTCACTATTGACAGCGAGTCACTTCAGCTCACACGCCGCGCAGAATAGGCCTAAATTCTAGGCGCTTTTTTCTATCAGTCTAGAAGCGCTTCTTTGAAGAAAAATAGATGCAAGAATACATGTTATGCGTTCTTATAGATTTTATTTTGTAGCTTTTGAACTAAATTATCGTACCAAACGGTAATTTCCCTAATGTCAGCCTAAGTATCCCTTATATTGGGCCTATACATAAAATGTTAAAGTATTCAAAGTGTTTTTATGTTACTTCATACGCGAAGTTAACGATTTTCAGAGTTGGTTGGAAATGCTAACATGAAGCTTTAGTGTGATGATTTATTAGCTAGAGAATGATCTTTAGAAGAGGGTAGGTGGATAGTTCCGTTAGAGTACGGCAGTATGAAAATTGAATAGAAGTTGAAAATGAGCGAAGGGCCATTAATGCGACAGTTTTTTTAAGATCGACGCACATTTTTGCCTAACCCGTACGATGTACGCGGGGACTTGAAGTATGTCTCCAAGTCCACAGGGAAAAATGTGCGTCCCTCTTTTTGCTCATAAACTGACTGCGGCTGTGGAATAGTTCTAGCGACGTTTTCATCACTACCTAATAACACATTTTTGCCTGTGGACTTGGAGACATACTTCAAGTCCCCGCGTACATCGTACGGGTTAGGCAAAAATGTGCGTCGATCTTAAAAAAACTGTCGCATTAATGGCCCTTCGCTCATTTTCAACTTCTATTCAATTTTCATACTGCCGTACTCTAACGGAACTATCCACCTACCCTCTTCTAAAGATCATTCTCTAGCTAATAAATCATCACACTAAAGCTTCATGTTAGCATTTCCAACCAACTCTGTTAAAGTATGTTTTGACATATGTTCACTAGCAACCAAAAATATACATTTATATTTCCCAGATGACGCATTTTTCTAACATTGAACTTTTTAAGAGATTTTTATCGAACTGCCCGATCTTTAAATCCATATGCTAGAAGCCTATTTGATGTATCTACTCAATAAGACGGAAATACGCACTTATGCCGAAGTAGTTCTCTACCTTACTTAATCAGTCTTGAAAAAATTGGCAATAGACTTACAGAAATCTTTCATCCGCTGAAGATCTTTCAAATACTTCAAGGTCAACCTGCCGTCTATGGGAGAATAACCAACAATCAAAACGAAACTAACGATTTTAAATTGGCTCACTACTTGACTAGCCTATTGGTCCCAAGCAAATCGATTAGCGTATCCTATTCTAGTATAAATTCCAGTACTACACAATGTTTGTTTTGATTCGCTATGAAAGTTTGACAGATAAAATGAGGGGTTCGTGGATTTTCATATGTTTCGAGGGGTGCATCGATTAGCTTGGAACCGAAGATAGTACCAGAGCTGAGCCAAAAAGTTGAGCTCGTTTCTTCGAATCTTCTGGTCTTAGAGTTCAAGTAACCCTGGTTGGAGGTAATTAAAATAACTCACATGATTATATCTGATCAACCAGCATTCTTGGGAAAATATCTGGAGGCATCGTTTTAATTGTTTGTACAATTGAAGATCTTCAGAATAATAATTGATCGAGCTGAAGTCTTGAAAAAAATAACCAAAAGACTTTACTGAAATCTTTGTTCCGATCAACTTGCCGTCTTGAAAGAAATTCTGAGCGACGACATTCGATTTCTTGCCCCTTTTTTTGTGTTACATGAATTTTTAATTAGTGTTCCTTCAACCAGGTTTTGGACCTCTTCAACCGCCGATCATCGTCATCGATTAGTTCGGTAGGCTTCTCGGGACCTAGCACCATCAACCGACCTTTTGGTTGTTCTTTCCGGCTCTTTGGGTTTTTTACGAATGGGTCAGTTCTTCCTATTATATAGCAACCTGAATCCATTCAACCGCAAGTCATCTTCGTTCACCTTTTCTACTGGCATAATTTGGCCGATCAACTGATTGACCACTAAGGGGGTAAGTCACTCAGCACATTTTGCCGAAATTAGATTCGGCACAGCTTGGGTACATCCATCGACACACCTTCAGCATACCTTCGGCACAATATCGTAGTCATTGGATTGTTGTAAATAAAATGGGAGCACACAAATGTTGGACAATTGTCATTGAAGTTGTTCACAACATTACGTGCTGTTTGATTGACTGAGGAACTCAGACCAGCAGTTCACTTATAAATCTAATTACCAAATGAAGGTGGGCTCTAGAGTGGGCTCAAGAGAAAGAGACAGTTAATTAGACCCCATTAATACCCTTAATTAAAATAATGCTGCAACTCACACAACACAAACTACAGAAGTCTATTCATCATCCTCTACAGTCGGTCTTCAACAATGTTCCCCACCGGTTTCAACTCTTTTCGGTCGCTATTGGACCGTTGTTTTTTCACATCACGAAAGGCTAGGTTTCTGGTCTGCCTTTGAGGGCATTATAAAACCCTAAAACGCAGGACTTTTATTATCCTATGGACACAAAACACCAAAATTTTGCACACCCGCCACTTCCCGCGTCATCTTCAATCCGGTTTATCCTTGCGATTTCAAACCAAAACATTCAAGGTGTCAGAAATGCCGGGTTTCCGGGATGGATATTTTACAAACAATCGCTGCTTGCTCTATGACCGGCACAATCAGCACACCTGCGGTACACTGACAAAAAATATGAGTCAAGACTGGTGTGCGGAGTGACCTACCCCTTGTTGACCACACATAATTTTTAATTCGCTTGTATTCATCATTGAACGTAATCTAATCACCAACACTAAGAATAGGCAAACCTATTATCGTGCTCAGTCAACCAACTCTTGATTAGCATGAGATTAGCATGGAGATTAGTGACGTTTAACGCACGCAAACTAGCGGAAGCATCGCCGTGTAAAGTTGTTTATTATTATCATCTGGCTAACCTAGAAAATGTATGAAATTAGATCTGTCAAAATGATTTAGACAGCGCTTTGTTATGTATTTGCCTCGGATTTTCCCAAACACGCTCTCACATATCGCACCAATACGTGATGGGCGTGGCTGGGAATAGTGTCAGTCATACTTTTGTTATCCTTGTTCAAATTGAACTAAAAATGTTTACTCCCCAGCATTATTCCTGAAAGCATCTGCTTTCAAAAAGAGACGTGAGTGTCACTAGTATCCAATCTACAAAGTATATCGTAACAATGCTAACGCTAAATTAGATTTGTTTCTTAATTGTATTGGAGGAACGAGTACTTAAAAAAAATTCGGTTGGATAAAAGAAGTAATATTTAAGTTTAAGAACAGGCGTGTGGATTGGAAATCCATGTATATCAAATCCTTCTCAAGAGAAGTAGTTGTTGTCGTCGTCGGTGAGGTCGCCGTCGGGATCGTTTTGTGATATAAGGAGCTCGGTTTTCTAGTGGCGACAGATTTTGCTTACTGAGTAGAAGACCGTGGAATTCAAACCCAAGCTACTACAATTCATTTTTTTAAATCTTTATTAAGGAGATTTTTAGCCTATGGCTAGTTCATCTCCGTGGACATCAATTCAGCATATCGTTTACCAAAACTGGAAATGCTTTATAGCGAAGTGAGTGGAAGCAACCCTGCAGGGAAATTACTTCAACTTCTACAAAGCCCCCTATACTTTTTTCTATAGCTATAGGTATATACTGCAACATAATTTACACCAAATTTGCTGAGTTTGTACGAATTTCATATAGCTATAGTTATAGTTTTACGAAGTTGTTCGAATTGCTAGGTAATTCGTCAAACCTCTGCAAAGTTTGCTGAACTACTATGAAAAGTTCGCTGCACAGAAATTTCCCTTCACTCACAAGGAATTCTCTGAACTAAGTCCTTTAAACTTTAACAAAGTTCCATGAAGTTAAAAGAAGGTCCAGGATTTTTTTTGAAGTTTTCTGAAATTGAACAAAGTTCCCATAACGTTATGGAAGTTTCCAAACTTGTGTAAAGTTCCCAGCTAGTTTCTTGGAGTTCAACAACGTTCCCTGAATGTTTACGAACTTCGCCTAACTCTTAGAAACATTTGTGTTCTCTTAGTTTCTATACGAATTGTCCTTGACTTCTAAGAAGTTCGCTAAACTTATAATAGTAACTTATAGTAGTTTTATAAATCTGAAATAATGAACACTTTTCTCCATCCGCAAGTTTTAAAAGTAGCAGTGAAGACATGTGAAGACATTTCGTCGATCTTGTTGAAGATTTTTTTTTTTCTAAATACAACTGTCATCCCTTATGATAATGGCAGACTCGGTATCCGTTAAAGTTAGCAAATTTTCGGGTTGACTACTTTTCTAAATATTGGTTTACGGGTTTACCGTCCAAGTGGGGAAGTGCTCCAAACAACAAAAGCTTGTGGACGTCTCACCTTTCTAAAGTCAACTTTCCGTTTCCATCCCGCAGGCAGCGCCATCGATCCATTTTGGCACATCTTCCAGCAGCACAACACCAAGGAGATCCTCACTCTGCTCGACACGTTCCGCATTGGAAACCTCAAGGAAGAAGACGTGATCTCAACCAAGGATCAGGCAAACCCCTGGGCCGCTGAACCAAAGCGGCACGCTATACTCAAACCGGCCACCCAAAGGCCATTCAACGCGGAGCCTCCAGCGTCAGTTTTGGTCGATGCGTTCCTCACACCGAATGAGTTCTTCTACGTCCGGAACCACCTCCCGGTACCGGAGGTCGACATCAAGGAGTACGAGCTGGAAATCGACGTGGAATTGACTGCTAAAACGAAAAGCAAATCGTTTAAATACGACGACCTACGAAAGCTTCCGAAGCACACGGTCACCGCTACGATCATGTGCGGAGGTAACCGTCGAGGAGAAATGATGGAAGTCAAACCGATCAAGGGACTCGCTTGGGGTCCATCAGCCGTTGGAAATGCCCAATGGACCGGTGTGCGATTGGCAGATGTGCTGAAAGCCATGGGTGTTGTGTCGGATGAAACCAGTCACGTCCATTTCGAGGGATTAGATACGGATCCGACCTCCACGCCGTACGGGGCATCGATTCCTCTGTCCAAGGCCATGGATCCCCGCGGTGATGTGATCCTGGCGTATGAGATGAACGGTCAACCACTGAACCGTGATCACGGCTACCCGGTGAGGGTGATCGTTCCCGGTGTTGTTGGGTCCCGGAATGTCAAATGGTTAGGTCGGATTGTCGTATCTAAGGAGGAGTCCGGTTCCCATTGGCAGCAGAATGATTACAAATCGTTCAGTCCCAGCACCGATTGGGACACGGTTGATTTCAAATCTGCTCCGGCCATTCAACATATGCCGGTTACGTCGGCTATTTGTGCTCCTGCCAATGGAGACAAGCTCAAGTCGGAGGATGGCTACATCACGGTAAAAGGGTACGCTTGGTCCGGCGGTGGTCAGGAGGTAATTCGAGTCGATTTGACGGCTGACGGTGGAAAAACTTGGATTGTGGCAGACCTGGATCAGGTGGAAAAGAATACCGGTAGGGGAAGACACTGGTCGTGGTCTTTGTGGACGGCAAAGATACCCGCTAAAGCGGGTCAGAAGTTGGAAGTTTGGTCCCGAGCCGTAGACGATAGTTACAATTCACAGCCGGAGACGTTCAAGAATATTTGGAATTTACGGGGCGTGGTGGGCAATGCCTACAGTCGCATCAAGGTCGAGGTTAAGTGAGATGAGATTTTTAGCTACCGTTAAAGGTTTAGGGGAAAGTGGGGCAGTTTGTGGCCACCCTACTTAAAGTCAGCTAATTGTATATATTTTACAATAATCTCTTGTAAGCGTAATGATTGAGGCCATGATTTATATGGGACCAGGAACTATCCAGTTGATTGGAAATTATTAGGGTGGCAAAACTGGTTCATCTCCCCCTATATGTTGTTTTGCTACATTGATATTGAAATTATTAAATATATTTTCTTTAAGAAAGAACTGTCCATAATTGTGTGCTGATTAAAGGGAATAATTCAACATAACATAAACGACAAGGATCAGTCGAAATGTAGTTTTCAAAGCCCGAATTAAAAAATATCATAGACGAACAATAACCAAAATCATAGAACTATTCTACAAATGGTTTGGATGATACGCCTTTCATCAAAACACCCATAGAAGTTTTACATGATAGTTGTACACTGGAGTCGCTTTTTACGCGGGTGATACGTCCCGCGTAAAAAAAAACCGCGTAAATTCCGGAATCCGCGTAAAAAAAAACCGCGTAAATTCCGAAATCCGCGTAAAAAAAAACCGAGTAAAAAAAGACCGTGTAAGAAAAACCCGCGTAAAAAGCGATATACCGCGTAAATTCTGAAATCCGCGTAAAAAAAAACCAAAATCCGCGTAAAAAAAAACCGCGTAAATTCCGGAATCCGCGTAAAAAAAAACCGCGTAAATTCCGAAATCCGCGTAAAAAAAACCGCGTAAAAAAAAACCGTGTAAAAAAAAACCGCGTAAAAAGCGACTCCAGTGTACGTTACTATTCGAAAAAATGATTACTTTACCTGCATTTGAAAAAGCGAACAATGAAGATTTTCAATAGCGTTAAAAACCATGCGATTTAATCACTTTTGAACAAACAAACCGGTACCTATGGCGTACAAATTAGAAAGTGTCTCCTTCACCCTGCCTTCACAACCCAAAGTAAGTCGAACAGTGGGTGGTGGCAGAAACAGAAGTGAAGTAACTACAACGATGCAAACGAACGAACCTGGAACGGGACCCGTACAGAAGGCCGAAAATATTCTAAGGTACCACAAAAGGCCGAAAACCAAAAAGGCCGAAAATTTATCAAAAACCGAATTTGTTGAAACCCGCATCCAAACAATCTGTTAGCCTTTCTGCTCGCACAACTGACTCGGCTCGTTAGATGGTTTGCATTCACAAAAAATGAAGCGAAGATGACATTAGATACAGAGGTATTCTCACTTGCTGACTTTTTGGGTAAGTGGTAAGCTGCGGGTAAGAGAAGGGCAAGGAAATAAGAGATGCGATAGAGGCGAACGGTTTATTTACGCAACATTCTGATTGGGTAGCGAGTTGCGCAAGCAGTTGAATGTGTGTAACTAGACCGTTCAGCAAAACGGACCAAGAGTACTATCGCTGCTAATGACGATTTTCGATTTGAGAATACCTCCCATATTGAATTTCATCTTGAACGAAGCCATCATTGTCATTCCATACTCAAACATCTGGAAAAATAAAGCTCTTACAACTGAGTCACCTCGTTGAATTGTCTGCATTCACACAAAACGAAGCCATCTTGTCATTAAATCGTCGTTAAACACTCAAACAAACATAAAACTAAAGCTACCCAAATTTTAAGTTTTTTTTTTCATTACGGAAATCGAATGGCTATTAAGTAGCTTCTATTACATTTTATTTCGAAGATGCAGAATAATAATTATTGTAACTTTACTTTAATAATGTAATTTAATTTATTAAAAACAAATTAACAAAAGCCTGAATCGGGAAAGCGACAAAGTGGACCGGTGTGAGCGCGCGCGTCCACTGTCGCTTTCCCGAGCTTTTTCGGCCTTTCGTGATTCGTCCTTCTGGGATTCGGCCTTTTGTGTATTTCGGCCTTTTGTGATTCGGTCTTTCGTAGTACTCTCCCTGGAACGCCTACTCTTTTTTTTGCATGCCTACTTCTATTTAACCGAATTCAAAATTTTCTTCCTTCAACACCAAGAGTAAGTGACGTATGAAGGAGCCTCTATGTACAAATGCAAGAAACCGATTATCTGTACACGGTTTACTATAGTTTGGTAATAAGCAGATCAGCAGAGAATACTAAAGAAGACTAATTATTTGGTATGCATTGGGCAGCATTTTAAGTATATTTTGCCCAACTTCGAGCTATTGACCTTGGAAATAGTGCTATTTTTTTTTCGAGAGTTGACTTGCTGCAGTCTTAATAGGCTAGCATCTCGGTTGGGCACAATACTAACAGATGACTCGAGCTATGGTGCTCACTAGGTCACTGCATCTTTTAGGCTCGTATTGTGATCAAATATGTGTATTAGATCACGACCATAAATCCGGAGAACCCTGAGATCTGGACGTAATCGCCCCTGCAAACAAACACGTCAATCGCCGGTCTTCCGCGAACAAAAGAACAATCCTGCAAACAAACTATACCAAACCATAGAGGAACTATTCCTCTACCTATTTGTGTTATTAGTTTTTCCAGACTGAGCCCCAATTCGCGAGAAACCGGCAAATGACGTGCCCATCTACAAAAGCAACCACGCCCCAACCTCGAAGTTCTCGGGAAATATGTGATAAATCATGTAAATGTAAATGGAATACAGTAATGTCCCGATTTTGTCAGCCCCCTTTTTTGAAAATGTTTTCCAATGTCCTACAAAACCCATGCCCTTTTCCAATAACCTTCTTGAACCTATTGCACCAAAGTATACTGTAAATATCCCTCTTAACGATGAATGAGAAAAATTTAGATTTATGGGTATGTGAAATTATTGAAATAAAAAAGTCTGAAGCGCGCAGGGTCTGACAAAATCGGGTCATTACTGTATTTAAAATAAATAAATTAATTCTTACCTGTTTATGGTTGTTTTATTATTAATTGCTACTATTACCTGCTTAGAGTTGGCTCCTTTAAAATACTGTGTAGAATTTACCTCATTATTCCTCAGCTCCATCGATTTCCGTTCCTGCGTGGTTTTTGTGATAGAACCACGCTCGGCATATTACCCTGTAGTACGACTTGGGCGTGCACCATGCAAGTAACGCATCTTTCGTCAAGATGATGGGATATGGGGTGATGGTGAAGGGATATAGAAAACGAATAAAAGAACAGAGAGAAAGGTATTAGTATTGCTAATACACCCCTTAATACACCCCCCCCCCCCCCCCCACACACACACACACACACAACGAAAAGAAACTTAGATGCAACAGACAATCAGAAATAACACATTTAATATTGAATATTTAAAAAAAATCGCCAAATGATTCAGAGCCTAAGTGCACAAACTTCTCCCAAGACACAACTTCACTTCACGGAAAGACGAAACAACTCAAAACCGAGATATAAAGTACTTAAAAATGAATACGATCAGTGTTCACTCGGCTGTCGACAAAAGCAGGCCACTCTCGATGTGTGCTACGCGATCGTCTGTTTTCTCGGCAGCAACCATTGTGTGGTCCTCCTCATTGTTCTTCATCAGCAGTTCTTTCGGTCGATGCCTCGTCGACTTTGGAAAGCAACCGTTTTGTGATGAGTGTGTGAGTGCTGACCACGTTTTCCGTCCATTGCTGCAATGGACGCGCTCTGACCCTCGTTGGTGTACAACAATTTGCCTTACAATGAAACCACTGGAAGCGGCTCCAGTTCTGATGGAGGAGGCTTTTTGGATAGCGGAAGATAAAGTGTTTATTGTGTTGTACCTTTTGACTATAGTTTTAAGATGTATTGTATAGTGACCAAGAATCTTGTGAATGAGTACTTATAAGTTAATCCTGAAGTACAACCAGAACTCTTACTTTTTGTGAATTGTACTCAACCAGTAGTCTTGAGAGAGTTCTTATTTTTGAGTACATTGTATCTAGATTTTGAATTGTTTTGTCTCCCGCGCTATGAAAGTATCCAAAATCAAGTGTTGCGATTGCACTTAGTTTTGGATGAAAAATCGTAGTCTGCGCCATGTTGCGAATTTCCCATGCGCTGGATGGGCTCAAGATTCTTGAGGTGATGACTATTGGACCAACCTCGAAACCAACGGACTATTCGACACACAATTGTTATACGTCAATCTATAGATTTCCTCTATTTTGATAGAAAAACATTACACTGTAATAAAATTGCATACAATTTTAGAAAACTCATCCTCCATTAATAGGAACACTGTTCCAATAGTTGTAGTTCTTTATTGAATAGATTTGTCTCCTTTAGTTTACTTAAATCTTTGGTTTTAATTAGTTAGGTAGGTTCCGATTCAACACATTGTAGTTTCATTTTTATACCTGTGATCTTGACTTTTTTACCTAGGAGATGAGTACTTAAGGGGGTTAGATTTAGATAAGTTCTTTAGTCGTAATGACACTGATGAAGACTGCACATTGTAGTCGAAATACGTATCTGTCATGGATACCAAAATTAATTAAGTGGAATTAAACGGAGGATAACCTTTTTTTTGCTGTTTTATTTAGGCATTCAGCTAACAACCCAATTTCATTACTTCGCGGAATGCGTTGGTTTCTTATGGGTTCCACTACCGCAACTATATAGGTGCAAAGGAGTGAAAATATTAAGGAAAATGAATGATTTTCCGTAATTTTTGGGATAATTTTAAGTTTGAAATATGAAAATATGCTTTATTTTAGGACAGCAACCGATGAAAAATAATCTTATCCGGGTCCTCCTCACTATTCCGGCACAACCTCCATACCGCAACTATAGGTACACCACTATTACTGGAACACCTACCCTTCAACAATCGACACAGAACTCTGATATCCTTAAACTATGTAACAAACACTATGTAATTTATTTATCTTTTTCTCTCCGGGACCCCCTCAGGAGTTCCTTCCCTCCAAAGAGACGAACTAGCTAAAGTCTGAAAGTCTCTATAATAAAGCAAAAGAAGAATAAGTTGTTTGTCGTTTTAATTAAGTTAAAATCAATTCTCCACCAGTAGAGGTGTTTACTGACATTACATATAGTGTGAACGGGGTATTAGACACTTTCTACACGTAACGTAAATTAATTATAAAAATGTGTTTCACTTATACATTTTTGCCTGGAAATAAGCTGAGATGTTTCTAGTGCATGAGAAGGGATGCAAAAGATACATCGACAACTATCGCGGCATCACATCGTTGTGTGCCATATCTAAACTGTTCGAGTTGGTCGTTATGGAACCATTAGTTTCTCACTTCAAGCAGCACATGGTTTCATGGCAGGGCGGTCGACTACTTCCAACCTTCTGTGTCTTACCTCGTACATTACGGAGAGCATGACAGACCATATGCAAACAGATGTCATCTGCACTGACCTATCCTGCCTGTAATCTCATATCAGTCCCATATGGAAAAAGTAGGCATTGGCAAAATGGCAGTTGAAGTTGCGAAGTGCAATTCCCACGTAAATATTTTTAAAATCATAGTAAATTAATTGACAATTCTTTCAAGTTGAAATCAGTTACAATGAAGCTTGCATGTTTTGTTATATCACCGAAAAATATGGTGATGCAAAAGGTAGAACTGTAACTTGACCTCTGGACGTTTGAATTTCAGGATGGGACTGATATGCGATTACTTTGCATGATGGGACAAACTATCTTGATGCTGTTTTCACATTTTTCATGATCATAGTCCGTAATTTACCACGTAATATGTAAGGAGATGCCAATTAATAGTGTATAACGTTGTAATCTTAAAATTAACGAAAATCCATATGGGACTGATATGCGATTATAGGCAGTATCAGCCGCCTTCGACAAGTTAAACCATCATATAGCGATCGCCAAACTGGATAGGCTCGGTATAAACGGCAGTCTCCTACGATGGTTCGCATCCTATCTATCTGATCGTCAGTTGGAAGCTGCAATCGACGACTGCCGATCTCCTTCGTTCCCTGCCATTTCGGGTATTCCGCAAGGTAGCCACCTCGGCCCGTTGATATTTCTTGTGTATTTTTTGACGTCAATTTCGTCCTCGACTATCGTTCGCAGACGACATGAAAATCTATCTCCGAATCCGAGCCATCGCTGACTGCCACCTTCTTCAACTCCAACCTCCAACTCAACGCTTTTGCTAATTGGTGCCGCATGGTTGTAAATCCAACAAAATGTTTTTTTTTAATCTTTATTTTAGAGATTTTTAGCCTAAGGCTAGTTCATCTCTGCCAACAAAATGTTCAGTAATCACGTTCTCACGGAAGAAACATCCAATTACATTCAGTTATATCCTAGAAGGTGTTGACGTACATCGTGTGAATCACATTAAGGATCTGGGAGTCATCTTAGATTGTCAACTCACATACAGCCAGCGTATCTCGTACGTGATCGACAAGGCATCCAGAACGCTCGGCTTCATTTTCAGGATAGCTAAAAGTTTCACGGACATCTACTGTTTGCTGCTCCCTCGACCGGTCGGTGTTAGAATACTACTGCCCAGTATGGAATCCCAAGCAGTGCTGAGATTTGTCATTGTCCTTGACAGACTTTCACGCGTACATCGTACGGGCTAGGCAAAAATGTGCGTCATCTTGAAAAACTGTCGCTTTAATGGCCCTTCGCTCATTTTCAACTTCTATTCAATTTTCATACTGCCGTACTCTAACGGAACTATCCACCTACATTCTTCTAAAGATCATTCTCTAGCTAATAAATCATCACACTAAAGCTTCATGTTAGCATTTCCAACCAACTCTTTCACGCGATATTGACAAAATTGTTCGTCACATAGTCACTGACAGACTTGATCCTCAAAAAAACCTTCGTCAAAATCTCATTCATTTTTTCGTCAATGACAAAGATTCACCTGGTAACAAAAAGTGTAATTTAGTACATTCTGTGTCACATTATTGTTATCCAAGTAGCTCAGGACGTAGATACTTTTTCACTAAAATGGATCCATGTAATTGTTTTGCTCAAGTCATTTAATTTTGTTACAAATTTAGCTAATAAACAAATCTGCACATGTTCGTCACTGACACCATTGTCATTGACAATTGACATGGTTTGTCTTGACTATGACTGTTAGCTAAAATGAGTGACCAAAGCAGAATTGTCAATATTACCGTGTACTGTCGAGATTTTGCAGCACTGATCCCAAGTACCAAAACAGTGAACAAAGAGTAGAGTCTATTCAACGACGATTCATCTGGTTTGCCCTTTGACGATTGCCTTGAAGGGATCCTCATCGCCAACCAAGCTACGAAAGTCGGTGCCAGTTAATGGATCAATGAAAATGCTGAGGTTTTGACAGAACTATGCTGTGACTACCACAGTATTTTACGTATGATCGTCCATGTACAGTAGCGCCAAAAGCATGCTGTGGTGGGTTCAAAACTTGAGCATCTAAATTGATCAATTCACCTGGATCCTTTGTGGAGTCGAAGAGATACGACAAGGGCCCTGTTTGTGACAGACATTCTACAGGGCAGAATCGATTGTCCTTCTATTCTACAACAAATCGACATTACGTTCAACCACGAGCACTCCGTAACAACGCAATGCTGAGGATTCCTTATCGTCGTACAAACTATAGTTCGTATGGTGCTATCAACGGGCTACAAAGGGTTTTCAATCGTGTTGCTTCCTTATTTGATTTTCACTTGGCACACGAGACGCTGCGTTAGAGATTCCGTTATATATTTTTAAGAATTAGGAATTAAGTTGGACTTCACGGCTTTGCAGCTTGTTACTTCTGAACTATATTGTATTTCCTAGTATTGCTTAATCCATCATTAGGACTAAACCCAGTCTGTTTATGTAAAACCAAAGAAACAAACAAATACACTTTAATAATCAGGGAATTTCTCTACTTCTCAATAAACGAAAAACATCTACCACGGTTCACATTATGGTATTCTTATTCATATTGCAGTAAAAATCATTTCCATCGAGCAGCGATGTCTTCCTTCACTGGTATGCCACAGCAGTTCAGTTTTATCTACAACAGCTTTTCATAATCTTGTTTTCAAACGAGTAAATTCGTTCAATATAATTATTAGGTTATCATTTGGTTTTCAGAGTCGAAACATAATGATCAACATTATTCGATAATTTCTCTTACCTACCAAGCCGCCAAAGAGAAGCCAGAGTACTCTCACACACAAACGGAAGGATGCTCAGAAATAACTACGTTTCTTTCTCGCCCATGTAACAACCAACTGGGAGACGATATTCAAACCTTCGATAGCTATTTTGTTTTGCTTGGAATTGATGTTCTGTTTCGTCCTCATCTTTTGTACTCACTAACAATTGTAATAAAACAATAAAAAATAACTAACACATGGAACCCCACTGGACGAAAGATAATTGATAACACAGATTCTGAAGCAATGGCTGACTATTTTAAGTGGGGGAGTATGTACGAACGCGTGTCCTAATGCAATTTCCGAGATGTCCTCTTGTGGCTGGTACGCACGAAAAAAAAACTGGCTTACTCGCTAAAGGCTTCCAAACAGACAGCTCTTCCTACCACAACTAGTAGAGTAACTCTAGTTCCTAAATAAATTGTATGTGTGCTGTTCTGTTGTTGTGTTGAGTGTTGCGGTTTGTTCCAATGTCCGGCGAAATTTTGCTAAACGCTATCAAGTCTACAACTATATTTTACAGGATATTTTGTTGATTAGAAGAAGTTAGGAAAGGAGAGATGGGAAACGTCTTACACGCTTAGTTTTTGTTTTCCTTCTTCTCTGCGCTATCTTCGCTACTGCTGCTGCTACTGCTGCTTGAGCTGCTACCGCTGCTTTCCCGCTCGGAAGCCATCTGTGAAATGATTTAATTTATTGGGATTAGAAAATAGAAACCTACTAGTGAGCAGTGGCAATTTGGCAGAACAAACCTTCTTGTAAGCCATCTCGAACAGTTTCAGGGAGGACTGCTGCAGGGTGCTGACGGTCTTGCGGATTTCCTCTGGATCGGCTTCATCCTTGTTGACCAGGATTTCACGCACCTTGGCGATTTCTTCGCGCAGTTTGTCGCACTGCAAGAGGGAAGGGGTAAAACTTAAAATCGACCCTAAATTTCATCGGTAGAAGGTTTGGAAACGTACCTCATCCTTGGGCAACTGTTCTTTGAATTCCTCCATCTTGGATTCGGTGTCGTGCACAATACCTTCGGCCTGGTTGATTGCCTCGATGCGTTCCTTCTTCAGCTTGTCGGTGGCGGCGTACTGTTCGGCGTTCTTGACCATGTTTTCGATTTCGTCCTTGCTCAGACCACCGGATGATTGGATGACGACTGCGAAGCGGAAATGGGCACATTGTTATTACGAGGGAACTGCCATGTTATTTGGATGGCAAATTAGATTACTTTCACGTTCAATCGTTGCTATTCGTGGGGTTGTTGTTTAACTTAATTTTAATCTGGGAAACTGGAAGATTGAAGATTTGAGAAACCTCGGAACTTCAAGGGCAGATCCAGAAGAATTTTCAGAAAATTCGGTAACAGTCAAAGAAGCTACTATTATTGCATATACTTCCTCTTCCTCTTCATATTGAAGTTTACAAGTATTTCAGAGCATTTCCCGCACCCCTATAGCAACGCACTGGTGATCTTGGTAAAACAATCAAAACTTTTTCCACGAAGCTACTCACTTTGCTGTTCCTTTCCGGTTCCCTTGTCTCTGGCCGACACATGCACAATACCGTTGGCGTCGATATCGAACACGACCTCAATCTGTGGTACACCGCGAGGTGCCGGTGGAATACCAACCAATGTGAACGATCCCAGCATCTTGTTGTCGGCGGCCATCTCACGCTCTCCCTGGTGGCACTTGATTTCAACCTGGGTCTGACCATCGGCGGCTGTAAACAAAAAAACAAGAATTTACAATCAATACAATCACCCGACAGCCATCGGTAGCAACTTACCCGTCGAGAAGACCTGCGACTTCTTCGTTGGAATGGTGGTATTACGAGTGATCAACCGGGTGAACACACCGCCAAGGGTTTCGATACCCAACGACAGAGGAGTGACGTCCAGCAGCAGCACATCGGTAACGTCACCAGCCAGGACACCACCCTGCACGGCAGCACCGACGGCGACAGCCTCATCCGGATTCACGGCACGGGAAGGCTGGCGACCGAAGATATCCTGCACGGTTTGCTGAACCTTTGGCATACGGGACATACCACCGACCAGCAGAACCTCGCCGATGTCCGACTTGGCCACCTCGGCATCCGCCAGAGCCTTCTGGCAGGGGCCGATCGTGCGCTTGATCAAATCTCCAACCAACTGTTCCAGCTTGGCACGAGTGAACTTCAGGTTCAAATGCTTCGGTCCAGAGGCATCCATGGTGATGTACGGCAGATTGATATCGGTCTGCACGGACGAAGACAGCTCGCACTTGGCCTTTTCAGCGGCTTCCTTCAGACGCTGCATGGCCATGGCATCCTTGGTGATGTCAACTCCCTGGTCTTTCTTGAATTCCTGAACCAAGTAGTTCACAATGTGGTGATCGAAGTCCTCTCCTCCCAGCATAGTGTCACCATTGGTCGACTTGACCTCGAATACACCCTTTTGGATCTCAAGGATCGAAATATCGAAAGTACCACCTCCCAAATCGTATACAGCAATGATCTTATCTTCGCTCTTGTCCATACCATAGGCCAGCGCAGCGGCCGTTGGTTCGTTGATCACACGCAACACATTCAGACCGGCAATCTGTCCAGCGTCCTTGGTAGCCTGACGCTGAGAGTCGTTGAAGTAAGCTGGCACCGTAACGACGGCATTCTTAACGTTGGTGTTCAGATAGGCTTCGGCCGTTTCCTTCATCTTCATCAGCACGAAGGCACCAATCTGACTGGGCGAGTAGACCTTACCGTCACCGCCCTGAACCCAGGCATCACCATTGGAAGCCTTCACCACCTTGTAGGACAGGTTCTTCATGTCCTTCTTGATTTCCGGATCCTCGAAGCGACGGCCGATCAATCGTTTGGTGGCGTAGAAGGTGTTTACCGAGTTTGTGACAGCCTGACGTTTCGCTGGCATACCGACCAGCCGTTCGCCATCCTTGGTGAAGGCCACGTGCGATGGAGTTGTGCGGGCACCTTCGGCATTTTCGATTACCTTGGCCTGTTTGCCCTCCATGACGGCCACGCACGAGTTGGTCGTTCCCAGATCGATACCGATGACGGCACCCTTCACCGTGTCGGACCTGTTGTGTGGGGCGCGAGGAGAAGAAACGGTTGAATGTTTGTGTTCGATAGATGATTTCTGAAAGGTGGATGACATTCTCTTTTTTTCGAGTGTTTTAATGTTATATAGGTATTAGACCTGTTCATTTTTACAAAAAAAAAATCCGGATCCGGGCTTCTGGACAAATTTTCAGCAAAATCAGAAATGATTTAGAGGTGGTTCGAGTCAGTTTTGTAATTTTCAGGTAACTGCTGTCTTATAATATTTGTATCTCAAGACTGAAAGCAAGACAACTGCTGTAACAACTTACATACTAAAGATAAATATGTTATCTACCAACTCTGTAAAAAGAATGTGTCGATTTAGGATGATTTGATTACATTTTGACTTAGTTTCATGGTTAGAGATATTCTGAAGCAAATTTTTTACAGTATTTGTTCTACGATTTTTTGCCCTTGTGACATAAACATATGCATGATGTTTTTTGCACTTTTCTCGACATTTCATTCTAACATAGTTGTTATATGTCTCGTTGAAGCCTTCATCACGCACAGAGACTAACTCGCACAAACCCTCAATACTACGTGAAACGGCTCGGTTTCCTCTGCCGATAGCTCTAGACCCCTCTGCCCATGGAGCTCTGCTGAGGTTCGTACCTCCTACCTCACTCAACAAGAACGACAGTTCGAAATCCATTACCACATCCTACCGAAAATCGGAGAGACTACGAAATGTATGCCAACCACCAACTAACACTCAAGCCAATGACACAACTTACAGCCAGCTGGTGACCCAGCGAACGATATTCTCCAAGCTGACGATCCTCTCAATAGAAAATCGTCCACGCGACTAACGGTGCTCAAGGTCAAATATGGACCCAGAATCACCCTACCCATTCGGCTCATGCTTTGCCATCCAATGGAACATGAACGGATACCAAAACAACCTTAGCGACCTGGAGATTTTCGTCCGGGATCATGACCCATCTATTCTGGCTATCCAAGAAGTGCATCGTGCTAGCACTGATAGAATGGACCGGACTCTCGCGGGACAATATCGTTGGGTGTAGGGAACCAACCACAATACTCGCCACGGCACTGCTATCGGCATGCAACTCTTCCCTTCACCACCACTCCGCTATTTACTGAGCTACCTGTGGCTGCTATAATACTCGAATATCCACTTGCAGTCACTGTAATCTCTGTTTACCTTCCCTGTCAGAAGATCCCTGGAATTAAAGGAAAGTTAATTGACCTACTCCTCTCCATCGACGGCCCAATACTTCTTCTGGGTGATGTAAACGGCCATCACCAAGCATGGGGCAGCCCTCTAAACAACCGCAGGGGCATCGATGTCCTGGAAGCGGCTGAAACTGTTGATCTAACTCCTCTAAATGATGGATCCACAACCTTCATAAGTGGACAAAGGTCTTTCGCCAGCTCAGGAACAATCCATCGCCTTCTATGGAAGGTCATGGAAGACCCGATGGGTAGCGACCACCACCCCATCGAAATCCGACTCGACTGTAGACCAACCGAAGCCTCCCGTAGACCACGCTGGATCTACAATCAAGCAGATTGGACAAGTTATCAAGAGGCAATCACCGGTACCTGCGGAGATTCCAAAACGACCAACCTCTCGGGTTCAATTGTTCAAGCGGTAACAGACACTATGCCTCGATCTAGTACCATCCCAGGACGAAAAGCCCTTCCGTGGTGGGGGACAAACACAAAGATCGCTGTGAAAGCCAGGAGAAAGGCTCTTCGTGCCGCTAAGCGATTAAATAAAAACCACCTTGACTAGGAGATTGCTTTGGCTCACTACCGTGCAAAAAGGAACGAATGTCGGCAAACTATAGGGGAAGCGGAATCGGAAACGGAATCAGCCCAAACCAAACGGCAGCTGATCTGGTGGGAAGAGAAAAAACCGGGAAATCGCACTTAAATATGAAGGAGGAATTACTCGCGATTCAGATACTATTGCCGATGTGCTTGGAGAATACTTCGCCTCTCTATCAGCCATAGAAGGCTACGACGAGGAACGTTTCCGTAGGAAAAAAGTTGCTTCGACACCCCCATAGCATGCCAATTCCAGAGGAAGCAATTGTGTCTCGGAAATAAACGAACCCTTCTGGTTCCGGTTGAACGAGCTCGCTCTAGCCTTATCAAAGGCTAAAGGCAATACTGCGGGCCCGGACGAGGGGGGCTATCCTTTACTCCGGAATCTACCACCAGAAGGAAGACGCAAGCTTCTAGATCTAATGGCTGCACAACTCCCTGCCTCAGGATTGGAAGCACAGTCTCGTGGTCCCGATCCTCAAGCAAGGAAAGCCAGGCAGACAAGCTAGTGATTTCAGTCCGATCTCCCTCACATGCTGTGCATCCAAAATCGTGGAAAGGATGGTAAATACGCGACTGATGAACTTTCTAGATCCAGGGACCTACTTGACCACCGTCAACACGCCTTTCGTCCAGGACACGGTACTAACACGTACTTCGCCACACTTGCTCAAGCCCTTGATGACGCTACCTCGGGTGGACAGCACGTCGAACTGGCAGCTTTAGACATAGCAAAAGCTTATAATAGAGCTTGGATGCCAGATTTTTTTTTCTTGGATTTGTTTTCCGTCGATCTTGTTTTCCGTGCTGAGCACCAATGCTACCGACGCCAGGAAGGCAGCTCCCACACCTGGACCCTACCTATCGACCCATCAACTCATAAACCGGGGACCAACGGCTTTACTTCCCTTCCGAAGGAAGGCGGGATCAGAGATGTTATGCCTCAGAACATCCCGGCGGCGCCGACTGGGATTGAACCCAGGCCTGCTGGGGGTGAGAGGTAATCACGCTTACCACTACACCACCGGCGCCGCTACTTGGAAGCCAGATGTCATCCGACAAATGGCTGATTGGGGCCTTGGCGGGCACCTGTTGCATTTCGTGAAGAATTTCTTGGCAAAGGTACTTCTGGGAAACCACCGTTTCGCAACATTCCGAGAGGAGACTGGCGTACCACAGGGTTCGGTTATCGCGGTCACCCTTTTCTTAATTTGTATGAATGGGGTTTTCGTTAACCTTCTTAAGGAAATTTACATCTTTGTGTTCGCTGACAACATTATCCACAACCATAAAGGCACTACGTAGAAAGATGGGCGCTGCCACAAGGGCAGTCTCCCTGTGGACATCACTGACTGGCTTCCAACTCTCAGCCGAAAAATGCACACTAGTGCACATCTGCTCTCACCATCTTGCCGTCCTTAACACTCCCGTCTGTATCAATGGTACAGCTATTCCCATCAGGAGTTCAACCCGTATCCTCGGAGTTCGAATTGACCGTTATTTGACCTCTTCTGTCCACTTCGACGATGTCAAGAACGCCTGCAAGACACGTCTTAATCTGCTACGATCCATTGCAGGTCGACACCCAGACAGTAACCGGCCCATTCGGCTTCAAATTGCTAGAGCAATTTTGGAATCACGGCTCCTTTATGGAATCGAAGTTACCTGTCTCGCTCGCGAACAACTTATTACGAAACTAGCCTCTACATACCATCAAGCTATCCGTATCTCATCCGGCCTACTACCATTCAACCTTCTAGTTACTCAGACCATCTGCAACCGATCAACTAGCTTCGAGGAGAAGACAGCTGGCTCAGATGAAGGAGTTTTCCTCCTTGCCGAAGCTAAACAACTCCTTTCAGCCATCGCCAATCTGGAGCTCCCCCCGGTGTCTAGCATACATTGGTGTGGGCCCATTATCGAGTTGGCGATAAAGAAGAAGTTCAAGACAGAACCCAACTCTACGTCACTTGTGAGATCCGTCGCGGAACTCCAGAGAACCAGATACTGCAACCACACTATCCGTTACTCCGATGGATCGCTTTCCCGTGAAGGGATTGTCATCGGCATATCGGGCCCCCAAATGTCCGTACTTCATCGACTTCCAGACCAGTACACTATATTCTCGACATAAGCGGTCTCTGCTTTTATTGCTGCTACCACTCTCTCAAACAAGCCGATTGCCGTATTTACGGACTCCGCAAGTGTAGTATGCCCCCAGAAACACTACATTTGTATGGATTCCGGGTCACTGCGGCATTCGTGGTAATACGGAGGCGGATCATCTAGCGGCTTCTGGAAGACAAGCCCAACTGTTTACCAAGGAGGTTCCATCGGGAGACCTGAAAAAATGGGTTGCCAACAAAATCTGGGACATACATACATGTTCCCAATCAACAAGCAATTTCCTTAGAAAAGTGAAGGCTGACACACGAAGATGGGAAGACCCCCCTGACCACCGAACTGAGGTTAAACTGGCAAGACTCAGAACAGGCCATCTCACAGTCTCGCATAACTTTTCAGGGAGCGACCCGTTCCGGAAATTTTGCGAGCTCTGCCGCACCAACTGTTCAGTGGAACACATAATCTGGGACTGTACTCAATACGAAGGCTCACGAGAGCTGTACGGCATACCGGGCAGCATTAGAGACGCACTGAGTTACGACCCGACTAGAATCACAGCATTGATGGGCCGCGAGGCCGGCCTCTTCGATCAAATATGAAACCTGCCAAAATCCCGACGACCGCAATACAAATGGACTTTCTCTTATGACCCAACATCTTAAACCAAAGCAAGATCCTCAGCCTCAGTACTTAACTAGAAGAGGCGTCCTAACATGATAAGAAAAGAAAAAAAACTTTGTAACTAGATGAGGTCCCTTCTGGACCTCACACTATCTTTTCACAGACGAACCAGTCGACGGCTGAAAGTCCCTATAGTAAAGAAATCAATTAATCAATTAATTGATAGAAATCTAAAAAGGGGTTGTAATGGATAAAATCCACTGCACAACACAGTCAGAAAGAACGGCAATCAGATTAACAAAACAAAGTAGCATTGCGTTTCACTGACCTCAGACTTTAGGTACCTCATATTGAATTGAATAGAGAACCACTCTTGATTCCTTTAATCACGAAAACTTTGTTTGTTGATCTCTAGAACTATATAGTATATTTTTTAAACTTTCCGCAATTTTACTGAAGTTATGTGAATTATCTTGCAGTTCCTTGATCTTCCTTGAGGTTCCCACACTTTCAGAAGTTTTGAAAACGGCACTTTGTCAAAAATCTCTCATTCTCTCTGAACTTCTTTGGACTTCCATGAAGTTTTTAATCTTTCTTGAAGTTAACTAATCATATTCATAAATTTTCCTGAATACCCCGCATTGTTTCTGAAGTATCGTAAAATTCGTGAAATTCTTGGAACATTCCACAATTCTTTGAGAAATCCTGCAAAAGTTTTTCTAAAGTTTATGGAATTAACGGAATTTATCGGAACTTACTGAAATTCTTTTGACTTCCTTAAAGTGCTCTGGATATCCCTGAATTTCTCAGATTTTCTTAAAAGTTCCTACAGTTTCCTGAAGCTATTGGAACCACTTCGAAATTCCTGAAAATTGCCTGGATTTCAAAAAAGTTTCCAGAAGTTTTCGGAACTTCCCTTTCGTTCCCACAGTTTGCTTAAGGAACTTCCCTGAAATTATCAGTATTTCTTTTCATTCCTCAGACTCTCCTGAAGATCTCTAATGTTTCCTGAAGTTTACGGAACTTCTCTAATGTTCTCGCTATTCTTCTGATGATGTTTCTGGATTTGTCCAGAAATTAATGGAATTACACAGAAGATCTTAAAACTTCCCTAGCAATCAGAACTTCTTAAGGTGATTCCCTGTAGCGTCCTTGTTCGTGTTACATTTCGCAATTTCGCATGTAAAAATATTAAGTTTTCTGTGAATGCACGTAGCTGAAACTACTACTTGTTGTTTGCTGCGGAGAAGCAAGCAATTACTGAAATTTGCAGATGTATAAACCTCGTAGATCTTGAGTTGTGTGCTCTTGAATTTGCGAGGTGTGATGGAAAAATGGACCCTACAAGGAAACACCTTAAAGGTTCCAACAGTTTTTTTTTTTATGTTTATAGATCTACCGTGTTATATTCGACCAACCGAGATTGATACATTCACAAGATAAAATATGTAATTTAGTAATCCAGATGGGCATCCAAAAATCCCTTGATGCATTTTGGTACGCAACTTTTATAAATGAGACCACTTTTACGTCAGCATCTACCAGCATGAGATTTCAGAAACAACTGAAATTCGTGCTAGTTGGTTGAGCTAGTGAACTAGCATAAGCGTAAACAGTCCATAATGCATTGATTTCTAAACATGTCGATATCACTAGCACGACAAAACTCGTTAAATAGTGCACCCAAAAGCTTGCTTTTTTTGTGGCGGGTGGCAAGTTTGTGAATGGTCAAATCAAGCTGAACATTCGCTCAGATCTGAATACACCTTAAAGCGTGCACTACTCGCTGTGCACTTGGATATCAGAGTGTAGGCAAACAGAGAAAAAGAGTGCAAAAGCTTTCTCAAAACGTTCATTTTTCTCGCATTCCCGTGTAGGAAGAGGAAATATGGATCGTTACGGTTTCCAAACATTCCCTTTCCGCTAAAAGTGTGTCGTAATTTATAATCGTGCTCATAACCACAAGGCCTCTCATAAGGTGTGATCGAACAATAATTTTATGATTTGAACCATATTGAAACGTTTGTCTCAATGTTCAATACTATTTGACTTACTGTTCCTGCCTGGTGGGGAACAATGAGACAAACATTTAGCTTTACATTTCTGGTTGTAACTAAATTAGATTACAACCAATCTGCCTGAAACTTGTTTTAAGTCAACTAGAAACCTATTACATTCGAATGGAGTCAAAAGTATGCTTGTAGCTTTCAACGAAAAAAATTGAAAAATTTTGAACAAAAACTATTAGACTACATTCCCTTAAGAGATAGAGTTTCGATCGTAAAATTTTAATTAGTACGGTGTATTAATTTCTCACGCAACTTTTCAAATAGTCGAATCTAGATGGCTCGAGTCCCTTCATCGACTTCTCTTTCGTTAATAACTCGGTTACAAAAACGATTACAATCGTGTTTGTCGTATTGTATTCGATGTATAGTTGATTCATCGATCTGTTAGTCAAAAATATCCGGAAATATTGTAATACAGCCGTGTCGATCCAAAACGATAGTCGACGGAAAAAAGATTGGACTATTTGAAATATTACGCGAGATTTGTTTTTTCAGTGATCAAGTAATTAGTGTTTTCATGATATTGAATTGTGAAATAAATACGACACTGAACTATGATTATAATAAAACAAAATCAAAACTTGAAAGTTGGAAATTTTTTAAGATTTTGGACATATGGCCACTGAGAATAACTCAAAGAGAGAGAGAGTCACTTCTACTCAGAGGTATGAAGACATTTCTAAAAACTGCAGGAACTTTGCGCTGTAGAGAGTAGAAGTGACTCTGTCTCTAAGTTATTCTCAGTGGCACTTACACATTTCAGCAAGTCTCTTGACTAAAAAACAAGGCCTGGAAACCTGAAAATTTACGATTCAGAGGAGGGTCCAGTAGCCTTTAAGGTAAGTCCAGAGAGCTTCCTAGACCAGTCCAGATGATCTCTGGATCAAATCTGGGAGGCTCCAGACCAGCGCAATTTATTGACTAGTCCTGTAGAAAGGTTCGGAAAAAAGCGAATTCTGATAATCAATCCCATGAATTCTGATGTGAATTCAAAGGTAAATTTGGGACAATCCTGTGTGAATTGCTTGAGGATAATATTCCAAGAGCAGGAGAATCCTGAGGATAATTCCTATATAATTCTGATGAGAATTTTATGAAAATTCTGAGATAAACTTTATGGAAATTCTGAGGAGATTTTCATGCTAAAGAATGGAGACATTTTCTAGATTCTGTGACATGGAATGTTTTCTAGGTTCTAAAATAAACAAAGTTATTCTAACTGCCGGATATCAGACATCGGAAAACTTTTGAGGTAAGAAAACTCAACATGGGTAGGTTGAGAAAATGTACCTAAGTTAATATATATATTCGGTAGGTTACGATGGTTTTTTCAGTTGAATATTAGTAGAATACACTGAATAAGTCTGCACATTGTAGACAAAATACACGTATATGTCAAGGATAAGCAAATAAGGTAGTTGAATTAATTGGAAATAAGTAATCCTTATATATTTCTTTATACAGGTATTCCACTATAGACGCCCTAACTCATCAGGATGCTACGTCATTTAAGGATGGTCCCAAAGATTAGATTTTTCACAATATCTCAACAGTTTGTGACTCTTCATCAAATCTAACAGTACGAATGGAAAGGTAAACACATGTAGATGTAATATGTAGTAGAAACATTCTATTTTGTGAAAAAAATCCACTTGAAATGCAAAAATGCGTTTTTGAAAGAAGTGCTAGAACAAAACATGAAAGTATCGAATTAAATAAACACGTTTTTTATTGAAATCAATAGTATTTAAATTGTTTTCAATAGTTGAACTGCTGGAACGACCAGAAGAAATATTAAGGAAAATAATAAAGCTTAAATCAATGCTGACTATTTTAAGCAGTATTGACAAACTTTAGACGGACAGATTCGAACTACATCAAAAATTGTATATTGAAAGCCATATTAATGGTTCAAGTGTAATGCCAAATCAATGCGTAGATTTAATTGCGATTCAATTGAACTTAAGAAGATTTTTTTCATGTCCTACTAATGGGTTTAATCTACCAGAATTAAATTACAATAACAATTAGACATGGAAATAATACTAAATTTCATTCAGCAACAAAGTTGCCAGATGCATAGAATACTGTTAATTACGTAATAATTGCGAACATTCTACAAGAACACCTAATCTTTGTAACCTTGAATTCACGCATTACACTGTCGTAGCACTTCTTATTAGACATAAACGAGTTTCATTCTTCCGCAAACGATTGTTTAACACGGACTTCTCCAATAGATGAAACATCTTTCAACATAATCAATTACATACAGTAAATACCGACGTCATCTTGCTGCCGCAAAATTTCACAACTGATCATCATCCACCTTCCCTTCCATCCGTGGTTCGATAAAAAAAAAATACTCACTTGAGCCGAGCCTGCATGCTGTTGCCGAGGATTCCTCCCTACGCAAGAGAAAGACAAGAAAAGGAAAGCATTGATAAGTCGGTCCGATTTTTCGCGATCAAGTTCAAAGTTCACGCTCAAATTGCCACCCTGCATAGGAACATGGAAGCACCCTTGATTTCGCTAGGGAAACATTGCAAATTGGATTTTAATGCTGCATTCAGGCGAATATTATACTAGAACGCAGGAGATTACACAAGCACCTTAACCTCACTCTTGTGCTCATTCCATGTTCCCCCAGCGGGGCCCTGTCTGTTTTCCGCAAGCCGATCACAGAAAAGCCTAGAAATTTCAGACTTTCAACTACTTACATTCTGCAACAGAGAACGGTTCTCCGTCAGGGCGCGGGTCACGAATTTCGCTGCCTTCAACATTTTCTTCTACACTGCGCTGGGACTCGGTGTGAAATTAAAGCACGATTCACGAAAATCACGTTTCTGGAAACTATGATGCAATTATTTGGAGAATCGCCTTTCAGCCAGCTTTTTTTTTGACAGCTTCTCTGCTCTCTGCTCTGAAACGCACACACACGTCTGACTGCGCACTCGGTTCGACTTCAAATGAACGATAATTTTGACGTCCGTCTTTGCGGTCGTGCGAGCAACGAAGATGAACATTTCTCGCGTCACTTTTCAAATAGACCAATGTAACATATCCACCATTTTGAGAAAATCGAAGTTGAAGTTCGACAGATTATTATTTTAACTGTTTAAAAACAATACATTTTGCATTACTATTTTTAATGTAGTCAGCATATAATAACGTTGAAAATTCAGAAGAAACGGTAAAATCACAATTTTACTTTGAATTTCATGCTACAACATAGAAAAAATCACATAGGACGTTTTGACAAGTCGAGTTGTACATCGGACATGTTACATTGGACGATTTTTCTCAATGACATAATCAATGAGTGTTACATTGGACGTTTTGTCCACATGATACTAGATTCCCTTTCACAGATTTCAGAGTATAGTACCTAACTTTAGATTGGCCCCGCCTTTGGAAAATGAGCACCAATCATGTTAGGCAGTCCGAATGACCGAAGTAACAATCATATACCCATCATTTCAAACTGTACATTGGACAATTTTTGATCAATGATTATTTTAAATAAATGAAAGTAAATTTGGATGGATGTTTTTGTATCACATGCAATGACAGAAGGGCAATAGTTTGTATCGCTTAACTCGATTTGTGTACATTTGTTACATTGGTCTATTTGAAAAGTGACGCGAGATTTGAATGAATGCCGGCATTTCCCCAGGCGGTAAACTTCGATTATGTAACAAAACAAAAAATCGGTTGAAACCTTAGGGGCCGTTAAAATATTACGTAAAAGCCTGTATTGAGATCGAAGCGAAGCGAAAATCTCATACAAAATACTAAATTTTTCACCTGCGTGAAAAACGCAAATGGCAAATTTTTCACTTCGCTTTGAACTGAAGCGAAATCTAATTTTGTGGATCGTATCTTTTTCGCTTACGTTTATTTTTTTCACGCATGCAGCGCTAGCAAAAAGAGCAGCACCTAAGGGCATCTTTAGCGGTGGTCTGATCTAGATTAAAATTTATGTCACATTTGAACCAGCTAAAATTAAAAGGATCAAGCCAAAATAGATCAAACTGTGTGCGTACGCACCGGTTGGTCTATTTTTGGCCGTTCTATTTCAAACGTCAAAACCCGAGTCAAAACCAACTCACACCCTGATTTCGTGGTCAGCCATTTTTTAATCTCGTACTCATTCGTACATGGTTTTTATCCGGCAATTACCGTGAAATTGACTTCCGAAGGCCTCTCTCCGGGATTGATGTGCGGCTTTAACAAAAAGCCTTGGACTGCTCGTCCTCCTGCTCCTCGTGCTTCCCAGTGAAATAATAATAAAAACCTGTATTTATTGAAATTTGTCTGGTATGTTGTTGCGTGTTGGGTTTTGGCCCAAGTCAGAAACTGGACAATTTTCTGGGGGGTACCCGGAACATACCAGAATGTGGCCAATGTGGATCTGGACACTATATTTGACTTCTGACTAACTGATTTTGTTTTTTTTTTTAATTTCTGTGAGATTTGACACATCACAGGGTTTGGACCATATCAGAAACTAGTCACTTCCCTAGGGGTTCCTGAGAGATGCTTGGAAGTAAGAAAGGTGGTCCTGGGCACATTATTTGACTTCCATAGATCTTGGTTTTGAAATCTAATGTGATTTGCTATGTGGCGCATGATGGGTTTTGGATTAAATCAGAAAGTGGCCATTTCCTTGGAGGTGCCCGGAACATATTCGATAGGGGTCATCATGATTCTGTGCACTATTGTGACTACCATTGATATTGCTTTCGAAGTCTAATGTGTTTTGATGTGTCACATGATAAGTTTTGGACAAAGTCAGAAACTGGCCACTTCGTTGGGAGTTTCCAGAACATGCCCGGAAAATCCTGCAGAACAGAAGCGTCCAGATGTCTCCCTTGTGATCCTTTCGCAGCTGCGACGACAGAACCGGCAGCAACAGCAGCACCGATAGCGCGATAGAGCTGGAACTACACACTTAAAAATTTTCGCCGAGATTCCAACATCCGAGTAATTCTGCAATTTTTTTGGCTGAGATTTAGTCAAACAATTGCCGAGACTCAGCTAACAAATAACATTTTACTGAGATATCAGCTAACAAACAGATATTTTGCAGAGATATCAGCAAAAGTAAATGCCGAGGTTATCGGCTGTTGGAGATTTTACCGAGCTAGATTAAGTTTGTACACCAATGTTAACAGCAGTCGATTGTTCCGCCCACGTTTCATAGAAAATCGGGGAACTAAATTGGTTTGTTTTGCTGAAAAAAAAACCCAACAACGAAACAAAACAAAACAAAATCTCGAGTGCGACAGCTGCCAAACTAGTTTGGAACAGTGCTTGCCTTGATCCAAATTTAGTTCAAAGTAGATCGAGAATTATACTGGTTTAAAAAAATTACATTTTAGAACTAGTCTAAACCAAAATATAGACCACCAGTGCAAGGGCTCGGTCTGGGTCTGTTCCAAAATTTTAGACCAAACCAACCAATTGGATCGCCGCTAAAGATGCCCTAAAGGCCTGTATAGAGATCGAAGCGAAGCGAAAATCTCATACAAAATACTACATTTTTCACCTGCGTGAAAAACGCAATTGGCAAATATTTCGCTTCACTTTGAACTGTAAACAGATACGATCCAGCGAAATCTTATTTTGTGGATCGTATCTTTTTCGCTTACGTTTATTTTTTTTTTCGCGCATGCAGCGCTAGCGAAAAAAGCAGCAGCTAAGCGAAAAGTTGACGTTTCGAGAAAGAGCGTATCTGTCAGATTTTCACTTCACCGGAGGTGTAAACTGATCGATTTCGTTTCACATGAACTGTAAACTGCGAAAAAAGGTAACTGGAAAACGTTCCACAGTCATTTTATCACAACCTTTTTCGCTAGCGAAATTTCATGATTTTTCGCATGCTTCAAATTTCGTTTTGCTTCGATCTGTATACTAGACTTAACAAAAAAATGTGTCTACATATGCGACGGATACACTTGTATGACCTACTATGAGCATGAGAATTATTTTTATAATAAATTATGAGCACATCCATGGTCACACTTGTATACTGCCGTTATACGCATAAGTGTCCCATGTTCTATGCAATTCTTATGCACAGTGGGACTCTTATGCGTATAACGGCAGTATAGTTTGTGTATAGTTGTTGTATAGTGCTCATAATAATGCTCAAGCTCATAGTAGGTCATACAAGTGTATCCGCGGCATTTAACGAGTGAACGGATTAATTTGATTTCACTCACTCGAGAAAAGTGACACAAGCAGCGGGCAATGTTTACTAATCATGAAAACTAAATCTAGATAGAGCTGGAATTAGGGCGTAACAGCTTTTGTAAACAATGACTTCTCTCGATGATTTCTAGACACTCAAGGCTCGCCCAAGCAAATCAACATCACTATCAGGCAGAGGAAGTCTTCCCCTAGCCGATGGTTATGTTGGTTTGCGTTGGCGTGCCTTGAATTCCTAGAAATCATCGGGAAAAGTCATTGTTTACAAAAGCTGTTAGGCCCTAATTCCAGCTCTATCTAGAAATGTTCATTGCAATGTTTTGTACCGCCGGGGTTAACCTCAATCGGATGGTAACTGTTTACGTGTACTTAGTCATTTTTTTCTTGCGTACATTTTCTCGATAATTCGACAGTGAGCATGCTTAAGGGCCTAACTGCGCCCTGCTCTTTATCGATTTTCTCTTTATATTGCTACAGCTAAGGGAAGAAATTTCTGAAATTTGTCCAATTCAGTGATGTAATAGGTTCTATTGGCCTCGGTATTGGCTATAAAAAGCAACAACAAATGCACCGAGAAATGTTAATCCAAGCGAGTTATTAACAATAGAGTAAATCGACGAAGAAAATCGATCATCGCAGTTACGCCATTATGCATGCTCACTGTCCAATTTTTTAAACTGCAGTGAGATTTAAACCACATTTCTGCGATCCTCGAGGTAGATCCTTTCACCACGCATTTATTCGGCATATTTTTCAATTTAAAATTCAGAATTTTTCACATATTTTTTTTTCGAAAAAACAGTCAAAAGGTTCATCAGATGAACACTGAGCTCATTCGTGACGTCACGCTGCTCAACTTAATTCATTATTCATTACCGTTCAGCCGTGCTTGCTTGCTTGCCTTCGTGGAGAATTGGGTTGTTTACGAGGTTCTTTAGGGGTATTGAGATAATTGCATATTCATAATCTGCATGTCGAATGGAGCCGAAATCCAATATTTCATTAAATTTAGAGTGCTGGAACTATTTTAAATAAGTGTGATTACATTAGAAAAAATCAACATTTTAGCGCTCCTCAGTAGTACCAGGGGGTGGAAACTAACGATTTTAAATTGATTCACTGCTTGAGTAGCCTATTGGTCCCAAGTACTTCTATGGCGTACCCCATTCTAGTTGAAATTCTATTACTACACTATGTTTGTTTTGATTCGCTATGAAAGTTTGACAGATAACATCAGGGGTGTGTGGATTCATGCAGAACATGCAGGGGTGAGTGAAATAGCTTGGGACTGCTTGGGACCGTTGTTCTGGTACTGAGTGAGCCAAAAATAATAATGATTTTCTTCGGGACCCAGTAGTCTTAGAGTTACCTCTATGGTAGTACCACAAACGAAGTTACAGACGACTAACTGGCGAAGAAATCCATTAAAATAATGTGGTTCACTGTAATATAATTTTCTTGGAAGCTTGTGCCATCATCCACCAGATGGGTTAGTTTTTTTGTTTTGATTTGAACAAAGTTGATTTTGTGTACAATGATTCTTTGACAGTGTGCAAAGAGTGTATCATTTTGTCATTTTTTTATGCATTTCAGTTTTGAGTAGAGTGAAAGAGATAGAACCAAAACATTCTAATACATTGAAAATGCTAGTACAATCCAGTAGTAGTGTTGCCATGTGGTACAATTCAGTAGTAGTGGTGTTGCCATGTGGTACACTGAAAAATTGAAATAGCAGGTTAGTCACCAAAGTTTTCGAGCCGCTCCGTCTGTCACTTCGTTTGTGGTAGTACCATAGAGGTAACTCTAAGACTAGAAGGTCCCGAAATAACGTGCTCACCTTTTGGCTCAGCTCTGGTACTCTCTTCGGTCCCAAGCTAATCGATTTACCCCTCGAAACATAGGAAAAACCTTTAACCCCTCATTTTATCTGTCAAACTTTCATAGCGAATCAAAACAAACATTGCGTAGTACCACAAACGAAGTGACAGACGGAGCGGCTCGAAAACTTTGGTGACTAACCTGCTATTGCAATTGGCAACACCACTACTACTGGATTGTACCACATGGCAACACTACTACCACAAACGAAGTTACAGACGACTAACTGGCGAAGAAATCCATTTGAATAATGTGATTCACTGTAATAGAATTTTCTTGGAAGCTTGTGCCATCATCCACCAGATGGGTTAGTTTTTTTGTTTTGATTTGAACAAAGTTGATTTTGTGTACAATGATTCTTTGACAGTGTGCAAAGAGTGTATCATTTTGTCATATTTTTATGCATTTCAGTTTTGAGTAGAGTGAAAGAGATAGAACCAAAACATTCTAATACATTTGGTGAAAATGCTAGTACAATCCAGTAGTAGTGTTGCCATGTGGTACAATCCAGTAGTAGTGGTGTTGCCATGTGGTACACTGAAAAATTGCAATAGCAGGTTAGTCACCAAAGTTTTCGAGCCGCTCCGTCTGTCACTTCGTTTGTGCTACTACTGGATTGAACTAGCATTTTCACCAAATGTACTAGAATATTTTGGTTCTATCTCTTTCACTCTACTCAAAACTGAAATGCATAAAAAAATGACAAAATGATACGCACTCTTTGCACACTGTCAAAGAATCATTGTACACAAAATCAACTTTGTTCAAATCAAAACAAAAAAACTAACCCATCTGGTGGATGATAGCACAAGCTTCCAAGAAAATTCTATTACAGTGAACCACATTATTTAAATGGATTTCTTCGCCAGTAAGTCGTCTGTCACTTCGTTTGTGGTAGTACTAGAATTTCTACTAGAATGGGATACGTTAATCGTTTGCTTGGGACCAATAGGCTAGTCAAGTAGTGAGCCAATTTAAAATCGTTAGTTTCGCATTGATTGTTGGTGGTACCATAGAGATAACTTTAAGACCAGAAGGTCCCGAAAAAACGTGCTCAACTTTTTGGCTCAGCTCTGGTACTCTCTTCGGTCCCAAGCAAATCGATGCACCCCCCAAAACATAGGAAAATCCATGAACCCCTCATTTTATCTGTCAAACTTTTATAGCTAATCAAAATAAACATCGTGTAGTACTATAATTTTGACTACAATGGGGTACGTTAATCGATTTGTTTGGGACCAATAGGCTAGTCAAGTAGTGATCCAATTTTAAATCGTTAGTTTCCAACCGGTGGTGGTACCATAGAGGTAACTCTAAGACTAGTAGGACCCGAAAAAACGAGCTCAACTTTTTGGCTCAGCTCTGGTACTATCTTCGGACCCAAGCTAATCGATTCACCCCTCGAAACATAGGAAAATTTATTAAACCCTCATTTTATCTGTCAAACTTTCATAGCGAATCAAAACAAACATTATGTAGTGCTAGAATTTTGACTAGAATGGGATACGTTCCCTAATAAACGGGTACCATACTCTAACGATATCATAGATGGTACGACCATCCCACATAAAGTTGGGATGATATCCCGAATTGGTGGTTAGGCGCTTCTTATGGTTATTGTTTATGCGGGTTGATCGATTTACTTGGGACCAATAGGCTAATCAAGTAGTGAGCCAATTTAAAATCGTTAGTTTCGTATTGATTGTTGTTGGTACCAACCAGGGGAAAGATTGGGCGCATCGCTAAGAATCTGCTATTTATCAATTTTATCTAGATGAACGCGTTATTGGGACGTTACTAATGGATATTTTTTATTGCTATTAAAAATTTAGTCGATTACTGAATTTATGGATGGGCCCAAATTAGGGACACTTAGGCCGACATTACCTGCATTTCCCCTATCAGGAATATTACCCAAACATGAGGAGCGCGCAGTGAACTTCATTCTGGGTACCTTTCTACCGATAAATACGTTAAGGCGCGGGAGCGTGCACGCATGTGTACACCGAATGCCCAGGTGGCGTTATACAACAATTTGTGCGATGAATTAATGAACCAGCTAAAAGTAATCAGTGATCAGTTTTAGGAATGAATCTGATGATGACAGCATCAATGAACACGATGAATCATTGTTATTTTTATTACTGATTTCAGTCAGCTACACCTTTGCACAAAGCTAAAGAACAACACGGAACTGTTTCTCTATTTTTGAAGTCGTTTTTACGTGTTTACAGTAGTGATTTTACCTTATAATTCAAACAATAAAACAAAACAATCTGTCGCCAGTGCACGTATAGAGTTATCACGAAGTTATCCAGCAATAGTTAGGCACAGGAAAAATGCAGCAAGAAAACATTTTAGCCACATTCAAAATTCTAATTATAGGCGAAAGTGGAGTTGGAAAATCTAGGTAGGTAAATAAAACCCATGGGACCATCATGTTACGGTGCACCACGGATTCCGGTTCTATTTTTGGAATGCATACAACATAATCATGGTGGGCTGAATCAAAACCCAAAGTTGTACCTATTTGTTTCGGGATGTAAACAATAATTCTAAAACATGATATCGGTGAATGCCCTTGAGCCGCTAGTAGCAAAATGTTTACTCATCTTAGCGACTACGCAGTTTCGCCATCGATAGTCATCCATTGATAGTGTTCTACAATGCTTAAACATCATTGCGTATTACTTTTACAGTTTAATGTTACGATTCACGGATGATGATTTCGACAAGGACCAAGCGTTGACCATCGGAGTGGATTTCAAAACAAAGATCGTGGAGATTGACAACGTAAAAGTCAAACTGGCCATCTGGGACACAGCTGGACAGGAACGGTTTCGAACGTTGACCCCTAGCTATTACAGGTCCGTTAGTATAATCTAATTTCTTAGTCTAATGCATTAACCGTTGTTGGCTGATTTGTTTTTCCAGAGATGCACAGGGTGCAATTCTGGTCTATGACGTCACGAAAAAGGAAACGTTCCAGAAGCTGGAATCCTGGCTGAACGAGCTCGAAATCTACGGCACCAGGAATAACATGGCGAAAATGATCGTCGGAAACAAGATAGACTCGGCAGATCGAGCCATCACCAGAGACGATGGTTTCCGGTTTGCGAAGAAACATCGTACCATGTTCATTGAAACTTCGGCCAAGACGAACGAGGGAGTACGGGATGCATTCGAGGAGGTGGTTAGGAAGGTGAGATCTGTTGGGTGGTTGAATATTTCTTAGAAAATTAAATTCATGTTTTTTTTTTTATGATTGCAGATAATGGAAACGGATGGCCTTTGGGAGCGCAACGATTACGGTGATTCACTAGATCTGAACAGGCGAGGAAACCAAGATGGATCATGCTCCTGCTAATAACAGCGGGCCGGAACTAAGAAATAGTAAATATCGTGTGACTAAGCCATAAGTATGTGTAATTTGCAACGTTGCTTCGATCGATTAGAATGTATTCAATGTGTATCAAATCAACTAGGAATATTGAATAGGGGTAGGTATAACCAAAGCGTTTGCCTACCACTTAAAAAACACATCTGATAGAACAATGATATTTTATATAAAATTTAAAAAGCATGAAAAAAAAAAACTAATGCAAATAAACTAAATAACATTCAGTAAACTAATAAATTCAAAGGTGTAGCTTAGAATCTATTTATTAGAAAATAAAAGTGTAATCCGATGGGTTACTGCTACCCTGCTACCTATTATTTATCGTGTAGAAAATTAATTTTATTGATAATAAAGGAATCCAAAGGTAGCCAATGTGTGTATGTTTCCTTTTATTGTTAACATGGTACTACTAGGCCAGATAGGACCAGGAACGGGCCTCCGTTCGCTCTGTCGGAAAAGGTGCAACTACAAAGGGTAGGCATACCATGCGTTCTGATTTAGCAGGACATGTCCTGATTTTTATGATACTGTATGCAGTTGATTTATTTTTCAAAGTGATTGAAACGTCCTGATTTTTAACGAAGAGTATCGTAAATAAAAAGCTCAATAAAACATATTTTTTGATAATAATGTCGATTAGGAGTATTGAAATAATTACATATTCGTAAGCTGCATAAAATGGAGGCTAATTCCAAAATTTAATTACTATTTTAAATTATTAAGATTAGCTCAAACCACCATCTTTTTTTATTTCCTCTGTTCGGGACCTAACACCACTGCGACCAGTAATTTGATCTATTGTAGTATATCCCGTGTCCTTAGTTTAGTGCATGTCGTATTACTCCATCACTATTGAGAAATGATGAAGTTTTCAATTTTTTTTTTACAGTTGTCATTCTTGCATTTATCGCAAGGATCCGACTCTAATTGAAAGGTCCCACTATTTATACCCTTCAGAGTGTTGAAACACCCTCCAAAGGCACCGATAATGACCATGCATCAGAACCCTAGTCTTAATCACTTCAAACTAGGGAACAATGAATAGAAGATTAGGAATCACATAGATGAAGACTAACTAACTAATTTTTCCCTTGTTTCAAGATCATCCTCGGTGGATAAAGCCGAGTCTTGTCACTATCAACAAGGCATAAAAAGTGTGTTCCTTTGATTACTGAAAAATCCTGTTCCCCTAGTTTGATGTAGAAGGGACTAGGAATCGGTGGTAGATCTTACATCCCGTAACGTATCACGAAAAGGTGATCTACCCACGTTCCGAGGCAACCACCATCATAGCTCCATGGCGGTACATAAGTGTGTGGCGAGCTGTCAATTTATTGAGAATGCGTCAACAAGCAGGTTAGTTATGCGTCAAAAGAAGCTGTTTCAGACATTGGGGATTTATGATGTAAAAAGGATTGTAATTAGCTGCCACTCGAATCGAAATATGTGGAATGTTTTTGATTAGGTAACAGCACGTAAAAGCATCCATTTTAGACCTATTATCAAAGGGTAGGTCACTCCGCACACCAATCTTGGGTCATCTTTTTTTTCAGTGTGCTGCAAGTGCGCCGCAGGTGTGCCGATTGTGCCGGTCATAGAGCAAGCTGCGATTGTTTGTAAAATACCCATCCCGGCAACCCGGTATTTCTGACACCTTGAATGTTTTGGTTTGAAATCGCAAGGATAAATCGGTCTAGCGGCATTTCGCATTTAAATCTATAAGTGAACCGAGAAGTGAACTGCTGGTCGGACTTCCTCTGATATATTTAATTGGAGGATGTTCCTGAATATACATCCAAACAGCTCGTAATGTTGTGAACAAGTTCAGTGACCAGCAGTGCTCCTATTTTATTTACAACAATCAAATGCCTACGAGATTGTGCCGATGTATGTGCCCAAACTGTGCCGAATCTAATTGCAGCACAATGTGCTGAGTGACTTACGCCTTGCTTATTATGGAATTTTGTAGCCAAATAGGCTTAAAAAAGTGCTGCCAAGGCATGCACCGAACTAAACTCTTTGATCCTGTTCTCTAAAAATTGATACCGTGAATCCCCGGTAACCTGACCGTTCTTAATTAATTGGTTCAACCGCGCTAATCTGCACGCAGCGCAAACTAAAAATTGCTCAAACGTCATCTAGCACATCCCTAATAAAATATGTATGGTTATTTGACTCGACGTTTTGTGGAATAGTTCTATCATTTGGGTTATCGTTAGTTTATGGTATTTATTTATTAGAGATGGAATAGATTGAAGTGAAATGGAACGATACGAAACGAAACACATAATCAAAACAAAGCAATAAATACCAGACACTCACTTTTCTGCGAGCTTTTCTGATGGTCGTAGGGTTACTAGAAGATCAAATTAAAAATGAACCCTCTTAAAACCTGAGTTAATACCCTAATAAAATAACCATAGAAGAGAGCTTAACGACGTGTTCGGGTATAATCCAAACCATTTGTGGAATAGTTTACCCATCCGGGATACAGTTGATTTATGGTATTTTTTATTAGGGTATTCACGAAGTATCGATCAGATTAACGAGGGTCCACGGTATACCCGCATAAATGCGAACCATAACTTGACCTTACCGAAAATGGTTTAAATTGTTTATAATCCCTGATAAACTTTAACTGAAATGGTTTTGGAACTTCACATGAAAGTTTGTGTGATAAAGTTTAATACCCTGGACAGACTATGGCTTATATCATGTAATATAGGCTGTCTTGCAATGAGCACTCATGCATTAGATTTCCAGTGAAAACTAGATGTATGAGTGTTCATTGCAAGACAGCCTATATTACATGATATAAGTCATAAACGCTGTCCAGACTGGAGAGTTATAACATGTTATAACGGTTGTCAACTAATTGCAACACAGAAACCACCATCAAGATAGCGCTATAACATGTTATAACTCTGTAGTCTGAACAAGGCAATAGTCTGTCCGGGGTATAAACCTCATGTATTATGGTTTTTGAGGGTTGTTACCATTACCATTCAAAATAATTGTTTTCTCCTAGGGGCTAGACAACTTTCAACCATGAGTAATTTTTGAGCAAATCTTGAGTAACTCTGAGTTACTCCCGTTGCTCAATGAAGAAAATCGTTTACAACATGCAATTTTTTATCGCAGCAACTTAGTTGAACAGGTTTCTCTTCTTATTTACATATTTGTGGTTCTGCTCATGCAAAAAAAAACAGAATAGTTCTTGGTGATCTGGGAATAAGAATACGGGTTTTAACTTATTTTTTAACTTATTATTTTAACTTATATACGGGTACAACTTATTGATGATATAAGTTATAACACTATCCTTCTCGTTACTACCGAATGTCTAAATCATTCCTCTGAACCCATATTATATTTTCAGCTTGCACCATGAAAAATAAATTTTACCAAGAGGCTTGAACAAAGGTGGGCCATTACCTTCTAGCTCAGCAGTGGAAAACGGTTGGGTTTAAACTCCCGACACCGATGGATGAAACAGTTTCACGGTAAACAAAGGGTACTTAATTCATGCACCAAGCACAATGTCGATTAGGACTTCAATCAGACAATCCAGCCGGTACCCAATAGGAGGTGTTTGTTTCGTAACAACTAACTAAGCACTCGCTACGGTTAAATAATACCTAGCACTTTATTTAACACAGCAAAACATACAATAAAAGGTTTATTAAGTTTATCACTAATTTGTATTTCACTTAAACTAGGAACAACGTGACGGATTAAAATGCCGTCGTAAGTCTCCTGTTCGTATAATACAGGGACCTGGTTGAGGTGGACTGATCCCCTTACCCGCACGATCGTTGTAGGAAGGTCAGTCCTCCGTCGATGCGATGATTTCCTTGGGCTTCTGAGAGCTTCTGATGGCATGATGATGGCTTCACTGATACGTAGTGGGAGAGAGCTAATCCAATCGTACTGCACAATATCGTCTAATCAGTATGGGGGTCTTGATCTACCGAGCTGGTGTGTTGGACGATAACTGTACGGTGATAACAGAGTTTTAGTTGGATGGATCATCTACTCTTCAACAAGGCTATTATATACAAAAATAACTTACTTGCAATTAGCTATAAATCTGTTCATAATGGCTGTTTGTAAATATGACAGTATGGAAAAAGTAAAATTGAGGCTACTTTGTTATTTTCTGAGCAAATACGAGTAACTCACAGTTACTCAATGTAAATACATTTGCTCAGAGTATAGTTGACTTGCCCCTAGGTTTTCTCCATAAATTTTCGGAAAGAAAACTATATTAGAACCTTTTTAATTATGGTTTAAGAATTTTAATGGTAATGGTTATGGTACTCAGTAAGGTCCACGAATGTTTTTATATTGTCGGTTAACTTTACGTGGAATATATCGCGAATTGGGAATCAGTAATTCACAGGCAACCTATTCGCGATATATTCCACATAAAGTTGATCGATGTTACAAAACCATCCATGCTCCTTACTGACTACCATAACCATTACCATTAAAATTCTCAAACAATAAGTAAAAAGGTTCTAATATAGTTTTCTTTCCAAAAATGTATGGAGAAAACAACTATTTTGAATGGTTATGAACAACCAGTGCTGCAAAATATCAATATCAATGCAAAATGCTGATTTTCAATAACCCCTTGATGTCAGTATCAGCCCAAACAATTTAAACATCAATGTCACTCGCCTCAATGTCAGTATGTAACGTACTGATATTCAAAGTTCGGCGGCAAATTTTTCTCATATACGCCAGCCAATCGTGTACTGATCTTTAGAAAACTCATCGGTACTATTAAAACATTGCAGCGGTTACACGAAATAGTTTATTTGTTGAGATAAAAGTAAGATTTTCCTAGTGATATTCATATGGATAGTAATATCAAAGCAGTACCGCCTGATGTCGTGCTTTCTACGAATATCAGTGTCAGTAGTAAAATTTAGTACTGCATGGTAAAAAGTTATCACATCTAATCCAAATGCTCTTGCACTTGACTCAGTCTGTTATGTGGAACTACGAATCGAAGTGATTTATCATTGATTTTCAAGTTATTTGCGTTTTGAAACAAAGTGATTTGTTGTTGAAAAATATGTACTGTATAACACCTTTAAATCAAAATGATTATCATTTGAATCGGCACCACTGTTTTCATCCATTGAATTTGATTAGTTTTGCTTTTGGAAGCAAATGTGAAAAACGCACATGATAAATATTACTCGCGAAGATGGCAAGTCAACAACAAATGAAGTCAAGCGAGAGAAGCGATAATTCTCCATCTCCACCCGAAATAATTTGCGTTCTAGAACGTGAGCAATACGAAACTGTTGCTGTAGTCAATAATAGCACTTATTGGTAGAAAAA